GCATATATGTTCTTTAGTATGTTGAGGAATTTCCCTTCTATCCCTATTTTGCTGAGAGTTCTGAACAGGAATGGGTGATGGATATTATCAAGTGACTTTTCTGTGTCAATTGACGTGATCGTATGGTTCTTTTCTTTTGTTTTATGTATTTGGTGGATTACATTGATTGTTTTTCTGATGTTGAACTAACTTTGCATATCAGGTATGAATCCCACGTGGTCAGGATGTATTATTTTTCTGATATGTTGTTGGATTCTGTTGTCTAGGATTTTGTTGAAGATTTTTGAGGGATATTGGTCTGTATTTTTCCTTTTTAGTGGTGTCTTTCCAGGATTTTGGTATCAGTGTTATGCTTGCTTCATAAAATGAATTTGGTAATATTCCATTTTTTTCTATGATCTGGGATAGTTTAAGCAGTATAGGTGTTAACTCTTCCCTGAATGTTTGGTAAAATTATCCAGTGAAGCCATCTGAGCAAGGACTTCTTGTGGGAAGTTTTTTTATGACCTGCTCAATTTCTTCTTTTGTTATGGGTCTGTTCAAGTCTTCTATCTCTGGCTGGGATAGTTTAGGTAGGTCTTATGTTTCTAGAGACTTGTTCATCTCTTCTAGGTTCTCGAATCTATTGGAGTACAGTTCTTCATAATTTTCTGTCAATATCTTTTTTTTTATTTCAGTTGGTTCCATTGTGATGTCGCCCTTTTTGTTATTTGCATCTTCTCCTACTTTTCTTTTGTTAGATTTGCCAATGGTTTGTCAATTTGGTTAATCTTTTCAAAGAACCAGCTTCTTGTTTTGTTTAGTCTCTCTGTTGTCTTTTTGTTTTCTGTTTCATTTATTTCTGCTATGATCTTTATTATTTCCTTACTTCTGGATACTGTAGATTTCTTTTGTTGCTTTTTTTCTAATTGTTGGAGTTGTTAGAGTGTTGATTTTGTTTCTTTCCTCTTTTTTGATATGTGCATTTATTGCTATAAATTGACCTTTGAGTACTGCTTTTGCTGAGTCCTATAGGTTTTGGTAAGATATATCTTCATTCTTGTTTGTTTTTAGGATTTTTTTCTTTTTATTTCACACTTTATTTCTTCTGTTACCCAGTAGTTTTTGAGCAGTGTTTGTTCAACCTCCACATGTTTGATATTTTCCCCTTACTCTTCCTATTATTGATTTCTAACTTTATAGTACTGTGGTCCAAAAAGATGCTTTGTAGTATTTCAGTATTTTTGAATTAACTGAGGCTTGTTTTATGTCCTAACATATGATATATCCTGGAGAATGATCAATGTGCACTGGAGAAAAATGTGAATTGTGCTTTTGTTGGGTGGAGTGCTCTGTGCATGTCTATGAGGTCTAGTTGGTTGATTGTGTTGTTGAGTTCTTCTGTATCTTTGTTGAGTTTTTTTCTAGTTGTTTTGTCCCTCCTTGAAAGTGGTGTGTTAAATTCTTCTACTACTGTTGCTGAGTTGTCTGCTTTTCCTTTCAATTCAGTTAATATTTGCTACATGTATTTTGGAGAACTTTCATTGAGTGCATAGACTTTATTATAGTAATGTGTTCTTGGTCAGTTGACCCTTTTAACATCATATAGTGTCCTTCTTTGTCCCTTATTGGCAAGAAAGACCAGGCAATCTACTTCCATAGAGATACTTCCTCATAAGCCCAAGGAGGGGTTGCTATGAGTCAGATTTGACTCAACAGCAGTGAGTTAGGATTTTGTCCTTTATTCCATTTTTTCACCTTGAAGTCTATTTTATCAGAAATTAATATTGCCATTCCTGCTCTGTTTTGGTTACCAGTAGCTTGGAATATTTTATTCCACCACTTAATTTTTAATTTGTTTTTATCTTTATGTCTAAGGTGGGTGTTTTATAGGCAGCATATTGACGGGTCTTATTTTTCTATCCAATCTGCCACTCTTTTTATCTTGGCTGGTGCATTTAGTCTATTCACTTTGATTGTAATTAATGATAGGTATGAATTTGTTGTTGTCATTCTGTTGTGTTTTTTGTTGTGTTATTGGTGATTTCCTTGGTCCACATATTTTTCTGAACTGAGCTCATTTTGTTATCATGTGTTTCTTCTCTTCTTTATTGGTGGTTTTGTGCTTACTAAGCCCATATGTTTTTCTTCTTTCTGGGTTTGCTTAGGTGGATTTTTAATTTTTTTTGTGGTTACCCTGAAATTAATTCTTATCTCTTTAATTTTGGAACAGTCTGTTCTATAAAGACTTTGTCCTGTCTTCCTCTCCATTTGGAAGTTTTGTAATTAGGACTTTTATTCCCTCTATTTGCTTTGTTGCTGGTTTCATCTGCAAATTGACTCTCATTTTTTGTGTACAACGTTTTATGAGCTTATTTTGAGCATCTATTTTTAATTTTTAAATGTTGAGGTCAATTTTAATTTGTTATTCTCTGATTCTGGTTCACTATTAGATGGATTCCCATTAGCATTTCATGTAGGATTGATCTGATTTTCACAAATTCCTTTAATTTCTGTTTGTCTGAGAATGTCTTGATTTCACCCTCATATGTGATGGACAATTTGGCTAGATATAGAATTCTTGGTTGGAAGTTCTTTTCCTTCAATATTTTATATGTGCTGTCCCATTGCCTTCTTGCCTGCATGGTTTCTGCCCAGTAATCAGAACTCAGTCTTATTGCTTGTCCATTGTAGGGACATTTCTTTTTTCCTGAGATGCTCAGAAGATTCTTTGTCTTTGGTTTTTGAGAGTTTGATTATGATATATCTTAGTGACTTTCTCTTGGGATCTATCCTGTATGGGGTTCCTTGAACCTCTTGGACAGACATCTTTTCTTCCTTCATGATATAAATTTTCTGTTAGCAAGTCTTCCACAATTTTCTCAGGTTTTTTTTTTTTTTTTTCCCCCTCGTTCTGGTATTCCAGTGAGGCATATAATATGATGCTTCTTTTCATGTCATCTCATATTACTCTTAGCTTCTCTTTATTTCTCTTAAATCTTTGTTTTGATTTTTCTTCATACAGGCTGGCATCAAGAGATTTATCTTCTGCTTGGGAAATGAGTTCTTCAGCCAGTTCTATTCTACTTTTTGTCCATCCACTGTGTTGTCTACCTATGTAATTTTAGTGTTTATCTTATGTATTTCTAATTGCTGTTTTTGTATGAATTATGATTGTGTATTTATCTTGTTTTTTGTTCTTGAATCATTTTCCTGAATTCTTCCAGGGTACTGTCTGTGTTCTCCTTGATTCTGTTTGTGATTTCTTGAGCTCTTGTAGAGTTCTATATACATATCTTCTAAATTCCTTGTCAGATAATTCTATTGCCTGTTCTTCTTACATGATAGATAAATCTTTAGCCTGGGGATTTATTTCTTGTCTTGTCAGGTGTTTTTGTTTGATTTGAGGTAGTCTGCTGTTTCCTAGACATTTTGAAGTTGTAATCTTTAACTGTTAGTTATGTATTGATTTGTTTCACCCTGATTTTATGTTTAAATATATTCGCAAGTGTACTTTTTTGGTTATTAATTCAGATGTACTGTGTTACTCTCCAGTTTTCTTTGCATTGATGGAATCACTATTGGGAATGTGGATGCAGGTCTCTGTTCATCATGAAGGGGATTTGGAGTTAGGTCGAGCAAGTATTGTGAAAGGTTAATGTGTTTCTTCTATTGGATAAGGCAGTGGAGAAGGGAAAAAAAGAGAAAGAGAAAGAAAATAAAAGCACCAGTAGCGAGTCCCCATTTTGTGTATTTCTGCAGTTGCTGCTGGCTCCAGGGGTTTGTTTTGAGTCTGCTTGGGATGGCTACCAGGAAAAGTGCTTTGCTGTCAATCACAGACCTGTCATTCAAAGTCGACAGAGACCCCAGTGGTTAGAGGGCTGCTATTTTCCACTTGGGTTGGAAAGCCACAAAAACCCCATACTCTGGTCCACCCTACTCTGTGCTAAAAAGCAGTGTGGAAGAGTTGAATCCCAGCCTTCTGCTGTGAGCTCACACCAGGGCCCCCTACTTGTGGCAAGTTTCCTCCCTTCCCCGTCTCCACTCTGAACTCTGCAGGAGCCCAAGCCAAGGGGATTTCTGCTCTGTTTCTCAGCAAGATTTTTCACTCACTCAGCACAGGTCCCAAAGTTACCACCAGAAGATCACAGTGTGGGTATTCTGAGTCCTTGAAGCCTCCAGAGGTCGCATGGTGCTCCTCCCTATTTTTCCCCTTCCTTCTCTCTGTGGCTCTCCCCTGTATTGCTAATGAGTTTTCCACCTCTCTGTGTCCCTGCTGGCCAGACAAGTTCATTTGTTTTTTTCCTGGCTGTTTAATCTGCTCTTTTTCTCTGCCTCCACTAAAATTTGGCACCCTATCTCTTACTCAGTTGTTCACAACTCCAGAATCCTTGCTTCTGCCCGCTACACCTAATCTTTCAGGAATTAAGATGCTAAAGGGAACAAAAGTGTGGGCTATAGGTATGACACCATCTTCTCACCCAAGGCTGTAATTTTTACAGGAGCAGACTGCCATATCTTTCTCCCATGGAACAGCTGGTAGGTTTGAACTGCTGACCTTTCAGTTAGCAACCAAGTACTTAACCACTGCACCACTTGGGATCCTCACCAAGAGGCAAGGGAAATTATATTTCCTACCAGACAGAGAAGTCTTAAAATCTTTGCTTTATGTACTGGATGATTTCCCAGAAAGCCCTAAAACATGAATTTAGTGTTAAACCAATAAGAACAATTTAATGTTAATTTAGATTTATCTTAGTTTAAATGAAAAAGCCCTGGTAATGCTATGGACAAACACTCAGCTGGTAATCAAAAGGTTGGTGGTTCAAACCCACCACCTGCTCCACAGGAGAAAGATGTGGTAGATCTGCTTCCATAAAGATTATGGCCTTGGAAACACTATGGAGCAGTTCTACTCTTTCCTATAAGGTCGCTGTGAATCAGATAGACTTGATGGCAGTGAGTTTGGTTTTTTGGTTTGGAGTTCCTAACGAAAGTCTGTTCTTATTTTCCTTTTGAAGTTAATAAGAAATTAGAAGAAAAGGAAGCCAAGAAAAAAGAAGCTTCCCTAGCTGAGGCTGCACCTCCTACTCCTCCAGCTTCTCCTCCCCATCCTGAGCCAGAAAAAGAGAAAGAAATTACGCTTCAGAGAGAGGCTTCAAAAACGCATCCTGCGAAAGGAAAACCACAATCAGGTGATTGACAGCATGATTTATAATCATGTTTGCCAGGTTCTTATTTTCACATAGAGAAGAATTATAAATTGCAGTGCCATTTATTAGATTTTAGGCAGCTTTTAGTCAGCATCAATTGTATAAAACAAAGCTGTTCATTCAGAAAGATGTAGAAAAGTCTTCCAAGTAGCAAAGAAGGTAATTGTCCCAAAGGCCAGGCACTTTACAATGTAGGAAGGAATGTGGAGTTGCCATATTCAGAATACAACCCCACAGAAGTGGGAAGGCAATAACAAGTAACCTAAAGCAGAATAAGGGGACAAGCATCTGTTTGCTGAAGTATAGAGTTATGTTTTTGTAATGAGGGGGAACATAAGAAAATGCGAAGTAGCTTAGCTAGTGTCCACAAGAATGAGGGAACAAATCGCCAGCACTCCCTAGTGACTAGAATTCATATTTAACTGTAAAGCTATAGTGCTACATGATTGTAAAAGGAATGAAAGAAGTACCTGACCTCTCAGTACAATGGTGTATTTATGGATGTATAGATCAAGAACCTGTGTAGAGAGTAGTTTTTAATCTGATGTTCTTTCCAGATCTTTAACCACTAAGGAACATGAGCATAGCACTAAGTGGTAGAAAATGAATATCTTTGCTTATCAAAAGTAAAGTGCTCACCTTTTGTAAAGCATGATATTGTTAGAATGTGAGTATCACTTAGGTCCTATATTCGTGAAACAAGTATGTCTCTTGTTTCTGGTTTCAGCTTTATAAGCAACTGGCTGTTACACAATATTGCCTAGATATTCTTGATAGTATTTCTCAGCTCCATTATTTTTCTGCCTTACTTGGAATAGGTCTGAATTTTTAAAAAAACTATAGTAAAAAACTAAATTTGAATCATTTAATAGCATTTACTGTGGTGCATGGAAGACCATTTTACTCCAATAAAATAAACTTAATGAAGGGCAAAACACACAAACCCTAAAAAAAAAAAAAAAAATGCTTTTATCTTATGAGCAAAAAACATAAATCTATGAATTAAATATATATTCTTTTCCCATAGGAAAAGAATTAGGAAGAAAAACAATTCAGAATTCTTGAGAAAAATTGGAAATCTTTAAAATGCGTTGAGAACTGGGATAGTTTTCCCCAGTGGCTTATATCCATGAGCATGGAGTTATCCAGTATTGGATAACAGTTCTGCCCACCTCCTCCCCACCAGGCCTGCTCACAATCAGGAATATCTATGTGTTTGAGCCATTACCTGAAACCGATCTCTAGTTGTTTCTGTTTATGACACAGTTCAATCTTTAAGCTTCCTAAGTTTGCCTGCAATTTCAAAATTGTATTCTTGAATACTGTGCATTGGAGGAATAATAAATCTATTGTTGCTTCAAAGAGTGGTTGTACCTGTCTCTTTTTTCCACCAAGGACAGGACTAGTGCCTGATCTTTGAAAATGTATCACTGACATGTAGTTGATTCTGACTCATAGTGACCCTGGTTGAGTTTCCAAGGCTGTAAATCTTTATGGAAGCAGACTGCCTCATCTTTCTTCCACGGAGTGGCTCGGATGTTCAAACCATTAACCTTTTGGTTAGTAGCTGAATGCCTTAACCACTACACCAACAGTGCTCCTTTTTCAAAAATGTATAGAAGGGTTAATCTGCAAGGACCTGACTATTGCCTTCCAACAATGGAAAATCCCATGGCTCAAGGACATTGGTGGGGCATAGAGCCCAAAGCCCTGCCCAGCAGGTCAGGGGTGCTTGGTTAAGTGATCATAATAGAGAAGGAAGTTTCTAGTAGGATTGTTTATTTTTATACAAATAATTTTAAAATGTTTGTCAAAAGAAAAAATTGTCAGAATTTAAAGCCTGGGGCTTCAGAACATGCCTAACACAAACACCCAATTCTAATCTTTAGAAGTTTGAAAAGAGGAATTATTTACTAAAAGAAAAATCAGGGTGCGAATGGGGTTCAGAATGAGGCATAGCACACTGAGCCCTATCAATCATTTTGCCCAAATATAGCTTTGCATTTTATAATGTTTTTGTATTGATTTTCTGTGATCTTAGAATGTATTTGAACTCCAACCTTTTGGTTAGCTACCCAGTACTTAAACTATTGTGCCATCAGGGTTCCTTAGAACCTGATGTTTTAGAACTGATAAAACCTAGGCAGAGTATGTGCTGCCCCAGCAGAAATGAGACCCGCCCTCATACTTTATAGGTTCATTGCTTGAGGTATCTCTCTTCTTACTTAGCTATGTCACTTTGTGCTAGAATTTAGAGCTAGTTAAAACAATGGGTTTCCCAGAATGTTATCTAGATTAGTAAATATATTGAGAAAAAAAGAATTAAATCATTTGGGTCATATTTATTTGTTTGATAGCCAACTATTTGGATGGTTGATAAGTCCTTTTATAAAAGAGGTTAGCAAATATTTCAAGGGTATATCCTTCTATGCCATTCAGTGCTTTTATTTATGTGGAATTTTGGTTGTTGGGTCTGAGATCCTTAAATGTAAGTGATAGGTGCTATGCATTCACACACACTCATCACTCTCACTTCTGAATACAAAGAATAAGACAGATAGGATCTCATACCAAAGGCATTTACCTTGTCACACTTAAAGTCCTCTCAATGAAAGAAAACAAAAACAAAAACTAGCCGGAACAAAAAAAAGCAAAATAGTTGAACCTGTTGAATAATGAGAGACATAGCAGTTTGTTTTTTTTTTCAAAGAGCTAATTTATTATTTGGGACAGTTTATTGACTATCATCAGTTCCCCAATATCTATTTTGAACTAGATCCCAGGAAATCCAAGATAAGTATACTCAGGTTATCCTTTGCAAGTTACATACACAGTGGAAACATGGATGTCACAAGGCAACCAAGTGTGTAGTCAAGAGAAGTTTGATTCTAAATTTATTGTCAACATTTGATAATGAATTTGACTGTACACTCTTTAATGGAACGTAACTGTGAAGTTTTTTTCAAATTTAGATGTCCACTTGAAGCGTATGGATGTAATTGGATTTATTTGTGCAATGGGATAAATGGCATCATTCCCCTTATAGGTCATTTATCCTATTGCACAAGCATCATTCAATTGAAATAAATCCAAATAGACCCATATACTTCATTAAAGAGTGTGCATTCAAATTCATTACCAAATGTTGATGATATATTTAGAATTTAACTTCACAGTGTGGCAAGCTAGCATAGTACCATTAGTGCTGCCATGTATTCAAGAAGTTTCAATCCATAGTCTATTTTCTAATTAATTTTAATCACAGTAAAGGCTTGAGCATTTCACGCTGTACAGAAATATGTTGATTTGTGAGAAATGGTAGTTGATTGCTTACAAGTCATGTGTTGTGTTGTTGTTGTTGTTATTTGTATGTTGAATTTTGTTTAGAATGCCAACAGGATAAGCATGAAATTCTTCAGGAAGGAAATGGCAAGAAAGGTGACACTTCATTCAACAGGTACAGCAGATAAGATGTAATGAAATTAATTTCTGCATTTTGTAACTGTCTCAGTGAAAATAGCTAGACTTCAATAGTAGGATACCTTGAATACAGCTCTCAAACATATGCAAATCATAAGCCCTTCCCAAAGAATATAACCTCTTACCTTCTGCTGCCTAACCCTTAGCAAAGGCCCTACTGAGAAAAGTGATACTTGTAAGGAAGAACTTTAAGAATAAGCAGACTATCCCTTCATTAGATATATTTCAGGTCTTATCCTTCACTGAGCCATACTATCAGAAAGCTGCATGTTGTTAGGTTGTTAGGGACTGTTGAGTCAGCTCTGTGTCCTAGTGACTCTGTGCACAGTAGAAGAAAACACTGCCCTGTCCTGTGCCACTGTCACAATCCTTGCTACGTTTGCAGCCACTGTATCAGTCCATCTTGTTGAGGGTCTTCCCCTTTTTTGCTGACCCTCTACTTCACCAAGCATGATATTCTTCTGCAAAGACTGGTCCCTTCTTACAATAAGACCAAAGTAGATGAGAAGAAGTCTGGCCATTCTTGCTTCTAAGGAGCATTCTGGCTGCATTTCCTCCAGGACAGATTTGTTCATTCTTCTGGCAGTCCATGATATTTTCAGTATTCTTTGCCAGCATCACAATTCAAAGACATCAACTCTTCTTAGGTCTTCCTTATTCATTGTCTAGCTTTCACATGCATATGAGGCTACTGAAAATATGATGACTTGGATCAGGAACATCTTTATCTTCAAAGTAACACCTTTACTCCTTAACACAAGAGGTCTTTTGCAGCAGACTTGTTCAGTGCAGTTTGACTTTTTATTTCTTGACTGCTACTTCCATGGGAGTTGATTGCAGATCCAAGTAAAATGAATTCCTCAACAACCTCATTCTTTTCTCCATTTATTGTGATGTTGTGTATTAGTCCACTTGTGAGAATTTTTGTTTTCTTTATGTTGAGATGTAATCCATACTGAAGACTGTATTTTTTGATAGTCATCAGTAACTGCTTCATGCCATCTTCACTTTCAGCAAGCAAGATTGCATCATCTGCATATCACAGGTTGATGAGTCTTCCTCCAATCCTGATGTCTCATTCTTCTTCATATAGTCCAGCTTCTCAGATTATTTTCTCAGCATACAGACTGAATAAGTATGGTGAAAGGATACAACCCTGACATACACCCTTCCTCATTTTAAACCATGCAGTATCCCCTTATTCTGTTCAAATGACAGCCTCCTGATCTATGTACAGATTCCCCATGAGCACAATTAAGTGTTCTGGAATTTCCATTCTTCACAATATTATCTAAAATTTGTTATGATCCACACAGTTGAATGCCTTTGCATAGTCAATAAAACACAGGTAAACATCTTTCTGGTATTCTTTGCTTTCAGAAAGCTTCATAATAGACCCTATTTTCTTGGAATGGCTTTCACGATAAGCATGTTGCTCTAAGTCCTCAACTTCTTTCACAACATAAGAGGTAGGACTTCAACTACACCAACAGTCAGCTGCTATTTATTTTCTAAACACATAGTGTGCCCCTATATCGTTCAATTGCCATCACATGAAATACCAGATAAAAAACTTTTTTTCAGAATCAAAGGACAAAAAACTCTTCATGAGTGATTAGATAATGTGCACCTTTAGATGATAGTATTTCTTTTTCTGTTTATCTTCTGGAACTTCAGAACCAAATTCTGAAAAAAAGTGGTTCATATTTAGTACTTCTACAAGGACCTCTACCTCAATTTCTGCCTTATAATTCCTCTCCTGATTTTGACCTTCCACTGTCATTTATATTTTTTCTCACCTTGATTTCATTTATTTTTATTTTTAGCATATATTATTTCAGTTATTCCTGTGAAATAAAAGTATTATAATTTTTAAAGCTTACATTTAAAATTTATGTTAAATTTTATGTTGAAGCTGCTATACCAAACCCACTGCCTTTGAGTTGATTCCGACTCACAGAAACCCTATAGGAGAGGATAGAATTGACCCATTAGAGTTTCCAAGGCTATAATCTTTACAGAAACAGACTGCCAAAGCTTTTTCCCACCAAGGGAGTCGTAGGTTCAAATTATTGAACTTTTGCTTAGCAGTCAAGTGCTTTTAACCACTGTGCCATCAGAGCTCCTTAAAGTCGCTATAAAGGGGGAAAAAAAAAAAAAGCCACTGCAATCGTTGTTGTTATTATGTGTCATCGAGTCAGACCCGACTCATAGCGACCCCTCCTTGGGTTTCCGAGGCAGTATCACTCAATACCAATTCACAGTGACCCCCATTGGGTTTCCAAAGTGGTAAATCTTTACAGAAGTAGATTGCCGCATCTTCCTTCTGTGGAAGAGCTGGTGGGTTTGACCTGCCAACCTTCTGGATAGCAGTCAAATTCCTTATGCACTATGCCCCCAGAGCTCCTTTGAAGCTGCTATTAAATAAACAAACAAACAAACAAATAAATAAAACTGCCATGGATTCTAGTCTATTCCGACCCACAGTTTCCAAGGCAGTATCTCTATGGAAGTAGATAAGTAGATTGCCCAGACTTCCTTCCAAGGAGTGCCTGGTGGGTTTGAACTGCCAGCCTCCGGTTAACAGTCAAATCCCTTAGGCACTATGCCACCAGAAGCTGCTATGTTGTTGTTGATGTTATGTGCCATCGAGTTGGACTCGACTCACAGCAACCCCTCCTTGGGTTTCCGAGGCAGTATCACTACGGAAGTAGATTGCCCCATCTTCCTTCCAAGGAGTGGCTGATGGGTTTGAACCACCAGCCTTCTGGTTAGCAGTCAAGTGTCTTAGGCACTATGCTACCAGAACTCCCAGAAGATGCTATAGCAACTCATTACCATTAATTCAAATTTAAGATGTAGTTATTGATGCATACATTTGACTTTGTCTAGGGTACATTCAAATGATACGATTATAAGTAGCTGTCTTTGTTTAGCTTTTCATCACAAATTACCAGTGCATTTGCAGCATAAGAATGTACAATATTCACAAACAACATGCTGTCAAAGATCTTTGTTTTGGCATTTTACATAACCATGAGTCTTGACTCATTCTATCCTTCTACTCTGATTGTACAAGATGATATGTTTATATAACAAGACCTATTTGATGAGTTAACACTGATAATGAAAATTTAGGAAAAAAATGTAAGGGCTGCAATTCATGTTTAGCTCTCACCTGTTTCTTAATATGAGAATAATTTTCTCATTTTATATTTTTCACCTCTTGTGAAAAAAGGGGCAATTGAATGCTACTGTTGCTGTTAGGTTCCATCAAGTTGGTTCCAACTAACAGTGACCCCATGAACCACAGAACAAAACTCTGCCCAGTCTGTGCGATCCTCACAATCGTTGCTGTGTTTGAGCCCATTGTTTCAGCCATGATGTCAATCTATCTTGTTGAGGGTCTTCATCTACTTTACCAAGCATGATACTCTCCAGCGACTGCTCCCTCCAAATAACATGCCCAAAGCATATGAGACAAACTCTCACCATTCTTGCTTCCAAGGACCATCCTTACTATATTTCCAAGACAGATTTGTTTGTTCTTCTGACAGTCTATGGTAAATTCAATAGCCTTCACCAATGCCATAATTCAAAGGCATGAATTCTTGTTAGGTCTTCCTTCTGAATTATCTAGTTTTGCATGTATATTAGGTGATTGAAAATACCATGTCTTGAGTCAGGTCCATGTTAGTCTTCAAAATAACACCTTTGCTATTTAACATTTTAAAGAGGTCTTTTCTAGCATGTTAACACAATGTAATATATACCATTTGATATCTTGACTGCAGCTTCCATGGGCACTGATTGTGGTTGTTGTTGTTGTTAGGTGTCATTGAGTCAGCTCCAACTCATAGTGACCCCATGGACAACAGAACAAAACATTGCCTGATCCTCTGCCACCCTTGCAATCCTTGCTATACCTGAGCCCATCATTGCATCCACTGTGTCAATCCATCTCATGGAGGGTCTTCCCCTTTTCTGCTGACCCTCAACTTTACCAAGCTTGATACCCTTCTCCAAGTAATTGTCCCTTTTGACATCATGACCAAAATAAGTGACACAGAGTCTGGCCATTCTCACTTCCAAGGAGCATTCCTGCTGCACTTCTTCCAGGACAGAAATGTTCATTTTTCTGGAAGTTCATGGTACTTCTAGCATTATTCTTCAACACAACTCAAAAGCATCAACTCTTTTCTGGTCTTTCTTACTCTGTATCCATATGAGGCAATGGACAATACTATGGCTTGGGTTAGGCACATTAAACTTCAAAGACACTTCTTTGCTTGCTCTTCAGCACTTTAAAGAGGTCTTTTGCAGCAGATTTGCCCAGTGCAATATGATATCTGATTTCTTGACTGTCACTTTCATTGGTGTTGATTTTGGAACCAAGTAAATGAAATTTTTGACAACTTCAATCTTTTCTCCATTTATCATGATGCTGTTTATTGGTCCAGTTGTGAGGATTTTTATTTTCTTTATGTTGAAGTGTAACCCATACTTCAGACTGTAATCTTTAATCTCTATCAGGAGGTGGTTTAGGTCATGTTCACTTTCAGCAAGCAAGGTTGTGTCATCTGCATATAACAGGTTGTTAATAAGTCTTCCTCCACATTCTTCTTCTAGTCTGGCTTCTCAGATTTGCTCAGCATACAGATTGAATAAGTATGGTGAAAGGATACATCACTGACACACTCCCTTCCTGATTTTAAACCATGCAATATCCCCTTGTTCTGGAAGTTCTTTGTCAATATACTGCTGCAACCATTTTTTTAATTTTCTTCAGGAAGATTTTACTTGCATGTGATATTAATGATCCTGTTTGATAATGTCCACATTCTGGGGAATCACCTTTCTTTGGAATGGTACAAATATGAATCTCTTCCAGTCAGTTGGCCAGGTAACTGTCTTCCAAATCTCTTGGCATAGATGAGTAAGTGCCTACAGAGCAGCATCCATTTCTTGAAACATCTCAATGGGTATACATACTGTCAATTCCTGAAGCCTTGTTTTTCACCAGTTCCTTCAGTGCAGCTTCGACTTCTTCCTTTAACAGTATTGGTTCTTGATCATATTGGCACCTCCTGAAATGGATGAACATAAACCAGTTCTTTTTTGGTACAGTGACTGTGTATTTCTTCCATCTGCTTTTGATGTTTCCTGCATCAGTCAATATTTTGTCCATAGAATCTTTCAGTATTGCAACTCAAGGCTTCAATTTTTTGTTCAGTTCTTTCAGCTTAAGAAATGTTGAGCGTGTTCTTCACTTTTGGTTTTCTAACTCTAGGTCTTTGCACATTTCATTGTAATAATTGACTTTGTCTTTTCGAACTGCTCTTTGAAATCTTCTGTTCAGCTCTTTTATCTTATTGATTCTTCCATTTGCTTTACCCACTCTCCATTCAAGAGCAAGTTTCAGAGTCTCTTCTGACATCCATTTGGTTTTTCTTCCTTTCCTGTCTTTTTAATGACCTTTTGCTTTCTGCAGGAGCTCTGGTAGCATAGTGCCTAAGGCATTTGACTGCTAACCAGAAGGCTGGAGTTCAAACCCATCAGCCACTCCTTGGAAGGAAAGTTGGGCAATCTACTTCCATAGTGATACTGCCTTGGAAACCTAAGGAGGGGTCATTA